TGGTGTGCTGTGCTCCGTGAGCCAGCCCGAGGCCCATATCCTGGGTTGTTCGAGGAGTCGGTCCAGCTCCAGAGTCCCACAGATTGCGGTCAGAACTTGGCGGTTGTTTTGAGGTTCTCTCGCAATATGTTGGCATCACCGCAATCTCTGAATTCTCGGCTGGGTGGCCGTGCGACTCACCTTCCAGTGTTTAAAGACGGTTCTGTTAGTGAGACTTCTGATTCGACCGTCGCATTCGGTCTTGGCATTGTCGTGCATCAAGAAGCGTAACATTCGCACCAGCACGGAGTCTATATTGTCTGTGAACGTCCCTGGCAAGACGAACGCTGTGAGGCCTGTGACCGCTGCGCTGTACACGAAACACATGAAGAGAGTGCGAAAGAGGCGCGGGTGTAGCGGTTGCCGCCAGACTTCGCCTAGCGATCTCCAAGCTGCTCGGGCTCCTTTGATGCGGTTCTGTAGTTCTGTTCTCAGGACTCCGTCGAAGCTCACGGTAGGTCCCAGGACACGGGCTTCCCGACACACAGCTCCCTGGACTCGTTTTTGTCTGCTTACTTCTCGCACCGCCTCAAAGGACCCCTGCCCCGTGAAATTGACGAGGTGGTTCGTCTTATCTGGGTTCAGGAAGTGGCCGTTCTGCTTTATAGATTGCTGCAAGCTCTGTGTGGCATGAGTTACCTGCTGTGTAATGTACTTAGCGTTGGGAGCGTATGCGTGTATATGTATGCGTGATACATCGTCAACGAAAGGCCAACTCCTGTGTCTACTTCAAAGCGTGAAACTGGGCATTGGCCACGAAGCCAGCTGTAGCTGACGTCCTCGGCTGCGAGACGGTTGGTCCATGCCTCCACCGTAGGAGAATCAATGTCAACAACATCATCGCCTGCTGCAAGAGAGTGCCCCGTGGTGGTCCCCGATGTCGGATGGTAGTCAGCTGTTCCGTCGTGGGCTTCTGAGGAGGAGGAGGAGGAGGAGGAGGAGGAAGAGGAGGGCGAGGAGGAGGAAGAAGAGGAGGGCGAGGAGGGCGAGGAGGAGGAGGAGCAGGAGCAGCAGGAGCAGGAGGAGGAGGATGAGGAGGAGGGGTAGGGCGAGGAGGAGGAGGAGGAGGAGGAGGGCGATGAGGAGGGCGGTGTCTGGCCCGTGGAGGGCGCGGTGGGGCGAATCCAAGATCTTGACACACACGCCGCGCTGCCCGTCGTGGCAGCCGCAGCGTACGGTTCACTGCCAGGCATCGGGGGATCTGTCGGGAAGCTTCCTCCGGAGATCTCGCCAGGTGGGCCTGCTGCCGGAGATCTGAAGAGGCCCCCGCACCGCTGCCGGAGATTCCGGGGGAGATTTTCGCAAGATCCTGGGGGAGTTTCTGGAACCCCTCCGGGTCCAAGTTGACGCGATCTAGCTCTAGAAGAAGTCTGAAACATCACTTGCCGCTGCTGGGTCACGCAGTCTCAACAGAACATCGACAGGCATTCGGACAGCAGGAAACAAAGTCATGAGGGCGACCATCGTGACTCCTTCTCGGAGCGCTCGGTGGCAACTCATGAGAGCCTCCCGTACCATCTTGTCGGCTCTTGCGAACCGACGCTAGTCGACGCTAAATCGACGCGAATCGACGCTAGATCGACGCTGATCGACGCACACCGACGCTAAATCGGCGCCATCTCACCGACTCCCAGACGATTATCGACGCCAGTCGACGCCAAAGATGGAACTGCGAGAGTATACAGGGCTCCCATGACTTGCCACCGAAGGAGCGTGTGAGCCCCTTCCGCACTCCTTGATTCGGGGGCGGCCAAGAGGGGGGCGTCCAAGAGGGGGGGGCGCAAATCATGGCCGGCGGTATGTGCGCGGCCCAGGGGTGGGCAGGGAACGTAATAAAACAAGAAGGGGCGCCATGAAACCTGGAGAAATATCATGGCCCCCGTCATGATATCCCCCCCCCTAGTCATCACCCCTCTTTGCCGCCCGCGATTGATGTCGCCAACCGCAGCTCTCCTCTCGGTGCGCTCAGGTTTTCCGGTGCTGCCTGGGCGGCCGGAGCCTGTGGGAGCGCGACATGCCAGCGAGAGATCCGTCACGGGTCACTGCGCATCAGGCCTCGAGCGGTTGGCGGCAGCAGCCTCGGCACGTCAAGTTCCCAACACTTGCTGGCCTTGACCCGTGCGTGCCCGAAGGCACGGGAGGAGGAGGAGGAGGAGGAGGAGGAGGAGGAGCAGAAGCAGGAGAGAGAGGAGGAGGAGGAGGAGGAGGAGGAGGAGGAGGAGAAGGAAGAGGAGGAGGAGGAGGAGGAAGAGGTACGGGACAGGGACCAGCGGTGCACGACCCGAAGGGGTACGTCACCAGTCTCCTCATCATGACGTGGCCACTGCTGCACTTCGGGTTCGTGCCAGCGGCAAGAAGCGTCCGTCCTCCCGGTCCCGGTCATGCTCCAGTATAGCTGTCCTGGGAAGTGCAGGTAGACATTGTCGCCACCGCTCGCTGCACTCACCACGATACTGGCCATCGCTCGGACGTGCATTCCCTGTTTTTCTGTGTGGCTTCGTGCGTGGCTTCTTCGCCAAATGATCAAGGATGCTCCTCGATGGTCCTCGCAGAAGGGAAAAAATCACACGTCCGAGCGATGCCAAGGACATGCTCTCCCCGTGCGTCGGCGTGCCACCTCAGCTCGCCAAGCGAGTGCCGAAGACAGCGCCGAGGATGACGGGCCGCGGAGCACTGCGGCCGCCCGGGCGGGCCCGCAGCGCTCCTCATCTGCAGAAGTCCCCGGGCGCCCCAACCGTAGCAAACAGAGGACCCCCCAACCGCAGTCGGACGCACAGGTCGCGGGGGTCGCGGCAGGTGGACCCGTGGGAGGCTCCGCGCGACAGCCCCTCAGTGCCGCGCTCCTGTGGTGCGCGAAGCCTCACCTGTCGGAGCGCGATGAGCGCCTCGGTTGGGGGTTGCCCTTGCCTCTTGAGTGTTGCGATGTCCTCCGCGTCCTTGGCTCGGAGGCGGGCCACAGCGTCATCGTCAACCTCCTCCTCCTCCTCCTCCTCCTCCTCCTCCTCCTCCTCCTCCATCGCCGAGGTTCTTCCTCCCTTTCGCACCCCGAAGCTAGTCGAAAGGGCGGGCCGGGCGTTTCGCCTGATAATCCCCCACCGTTGATACGTAATCCTGAGGCGCAAAATTTGCAACAGCTTCACGGATAGAGGGCGGTCAACTTTCAAAATGTGGATCCCGCATTAGCGCCGCTGGGAAAAGCTTCACGGATGAAGGGCGGCCCGCCTTCAAAATGTGGCTCTCGCCTTAGCGCCGCGCACATCCGTCTTAGAAATTTGCAAAAGCTTCTCGGATGGAGGGCGGTCCGCCTTCAAAATGTGGCTCTCGCCTCAGCGCCGCGCACACTCGTCTTAGACATTTGCAAGAGCTTCACGGATGGAGGGCGGCCCGCTTTCAAAATGTGGCTCTCGCCTTCACGCCGCGCGCAATCGTGTTAAAAACCCCAAGATAATATTTGCTGATGGAAGCGGCTCCTTTTGAACATGTGGATCTCGCCCTAGCGCCGCGCACATTCGTCCTAAGAGTTTCCTCCCGTTTCTAGGATTCTCATGGCTAGCGTCCCAGAAATGGTGTTTTGGCAACGTGCCAGAATGTCAGGGCGCAACAATATCTTGGATTCGCGGTGCTGAAATCCAAGGAATTGTGTTCTGGCACGATTCAGGATCGACAAGACGCAACAATGACGGCGCCTCGCGGCAACGAAGTCCCAGGAATTGTGTTCTGGCACCATACCTTCTTGAAACTGATTATTTCTAGAAGTCTATGAAGAGGGAGCTTGGAGGAAACGTTGTTTTGCAAGGTGGTAGACGAGTCTTGGGTTTGCAATGGTCCTTTTCCTCCTCCTCCTCCTCCTCCTCCTCCTCCTCCTCCTCCTCCTTTTCCTTTTCCTCCTCATCCACCTCCTCCTCCTCCTCCTCCTCCTCCTCCGCCTGCTCCACCTCCTCCTCCTCCTCCTCCAGCTCCTCCTCCTCTCTACCTCCTCCTCCTCCACTTTCCAATCTCCTCCCTCCTCCTCCTCCTCCGCCTCCTCCTCCTCCTCCTCCTCCTCCTCGCCTCCTTCCTCCCCTCCTCCGCTCCCACCTCCTCCTCTCCTCCTCCTCCTCTCCTTCTCCTCCTCCTCCTCGTCTTCCTCATCATGTTCCTCCTCCTTCTCCTCCTCCTCTTCTTCTGCCCCTCCTCCTCCTCCTCCTCCTCCTCCTCCTCCTCCCCTTCCCTCCTCCCTTCTCCTCCTCCTCCTCCTCCTTCTCCGCCTCCTCCTCCGCCTCATCTTCCTCCCCGCCTCCTCCTTTTTCTTCCTCCTCCTCCTCCTCCTCCTCCTCCCTCTCTCTCCTCCTCCTCCCTCCTCCCCCTCCTCTCCTCCTCCATCTCCTCCTCCTCCTCATCATCATCATCATCTCCTCCTCCTCCTGCTCCTCCTCCTGCTCCTCCTGTTCCTCCTCCTCCGACTGCTCCCCTTCCTACTCCTCTTCTTCCTCTTCCTCGTCCTCCTCATCCGTTTCCTCCTCCTCCTCGTCCTCCTCATCCTGCTCCTGCTCATTCTCCTCCATCTCCTCCTCCTCCTCCTCCTCCTCTCCTCCTCCCTCCTCCTCCTGCTCCTCCTCCTCCTCCTGCTCCTCCTCATCCTCCTCCTCCTCGCTCCTCCTCCTTCTTCCTCCTCCTCCTCCTCCTCCTCCTCCTCCTGCTCCTCCTCCTCGCTCATCCTCCTCCACCTCCTCCTTCTCCTCCTCCTCCTCCTCCTTCCCTCCTCCTCCTCCTCCTCCTCCTCCTCCTCCTCCTCCTCCTCCTCCTCATCCCTCCTCCATGGCCTCCTCTTCCTCGTCCTCCTCCTCCTCGTGTTCCTCCTCCTCCTCCTACTCTTCCTCTTCTACCTTCTCCTCCTCCTCCTCCTCCTCCTCCTCCTCCTCCTTCTCCTTCTCCTCCTTCTCTTCCTCCTCTTCCTCCCTGGTCCGACAGAGCCATGAGTCCTCCAGGGTTTCCTTCAGCTTCTCATACGCGGTCGCCGCAACCTGCTCCACCTGCGTGGCCTCGTCCACGTTGGCCTGCGCGGGGGATCTGAGACGCGTCAGGGTTACTGTAGGGGGGTGGAGAGCCAGCGGAGTTTCCCATGCGGGGAACAACAAAATCTACGAACACAACAACAAAGGGCACTTCGACACAGTAGGAGCAGCACGAGATCAGGCGGAGGCGGGGAGGCGGACAAAAAGGGGGGGAAGAGGGGGAGGAGGAGGGGGAGGAGGAGGGGGAGGAGGAGGAGGAGGAGGAGGAGGAGGAGGAGGAGGAGGAGGAGGGGGAGGAGGAGGAGGAGGAGGAGGAGGAGGGAGAGAGGGACACGAGGAGGAGGAGGAGGAGGAGGAGGAGGAGGAGAAGGAGGAGGAGGCTGGACTAGACCAAAAAGGTCCTGCATCACGAATTCCGACCGAAGGACCCCCCGTGACCCTGGTCCCAGCCCCTGCGCGCAGAGACGCCACGCAGGATCACCCCGCCTTGCCGCCCCGCGTCAACCCGAAGGCCACAGGGTGCACAGCAGAGCGGGGCTAGGACCAGATGTCTGGGGGATCCACTGGGCCACTGAGGCCCTTGGCCGCCTGGGCCCTCTGCTTGGCTGCAACGGCAGCGGCTCTGGCCTCCAAGGCCCTCGACCTCAACTGCTGGGCATGGGCCGGCTGGAGCCCGAAAGAAGGCGCAGCCTCCCAGACAGCGGGCCTCTTCGGGCCGTCAGTCGGGGCACCCGCCTGGGCCACCGCGGAGCACCCGTGGGAAAAATGCCCAGTCCAGAAATCGATCTCGGAGTCCGAAGGCGATCTAAAGCTGCCAAGCAGCCCTCTGCCGCCCTTGGGGCGCCTGCAATGCTGGATGATGGCGCTACGATCCGCGATGGCGCTAGGAAGCGGGCCCCCCGAGCACGTGTCCTAGAGGCCGCGGCCCTTCTTGTCCGAAACATCTCCTCTGCACGTGGAGCAAAAGAGAAGGACGGCTCTAGACGTGGCGGCCATTCCTTCACTCCCACTGGCGAAGCACGGCGCCGCGAGCGCACCGCGCCCGCGAACGCGCCGAGGCCTCAGCGCAGCGGGGGCCGGCCGCAGGGGCGCCGTCTCCGTCGTCGGACTCGCCGGCGGACCACTCACCCAGAGCAATCACCTCGAGCGCCCCGACCCGCGTGGAGTCCTTCCGCCCAGACTGGGCAGTGCGGACCTCCTGCAGGGCCGCGCACTGCGCCGCCTGGCAGGCGATCTTGCCCGGCAGCCCTCGGGCACCTCGATGTCGGCCCGGGGCGCCCCGGCGGCCATCGCGCCCTCCTTGGCGAGCCTGTCCGCGCGATCGTTGCCGCCCAGCTCGAACTGCGTGACCTGGCCGCTGCGCGCGGACGGCTGGCCATGCAGGTGGACCTTCACCTTGACCGCCTCTGCCCCCTGGAGCTGCTCAGCCCCCCCGGCCCAGACGCGAGCCCTCTGGTTCCCGGGGAGGGGGCCGCGGCCTCAGCCTCAGGGCAGGCCGCGCAGCGCGCGGCGGCCAGGCAATCGATGGGCGGACGGAAGGCGCCTCCAGCAACGGTGTCCGCGAGCACCTTCACAGCGCAATCCTCGCCGTCTCTGGCCAGCTGCTCAGGCCCGTCGACGAGCGGGGCCGCCCCGGGCCTCGGCCATCAGCCTGGGCCTCGCGTCGTGGACCACGACAGCCCCGCCCGCAGCGCGCAGGCCGGGGCAGGACTGGCCCACGCCCGATCCGCCCACGAAGACGCGCTCTCCGTTCAGGTCGGGGCCGAGCTCCAGCCAGCTGGTGGAGCACTGAGAGGAGGACGACAACGACGACGACGACGAGGAGGCGGAGGAGGCTGAGAAGGAGGAGGAGGAGGCCGAGGAGGCGGAGGAGGAGAAGGCGGAGGCGGAGGCGGCGGAGGCGGAGGCGGCGGAGGAGGAGGAGGAGGAGGAGGAGGAGGAGGAGGAGGCGGAGGCGGAGGCGGAGGCGGAGGAGGAGGAGGAGGAGGAGGAGGATGAGGAGGAGGAGGAGGAGGAGGAGGAAGAGAGGGAGGAGGCGGAGGGGGGGCGGCTGGGGCTTGGGATGAGTCCTGAGACTCGTCTCCACGCTGAGGCCACGGCGCGTTCCGGCACCCTCTGCCCCAGATTCGCCAGGGCCGCCGACAAGGAATGGACTGGTTGCGGCACACGCGTCCGACAGCTGAGTCGAAGCAAAGAGGGGGGGGCAGCAGAGGGTGGATGAGGACCGAGAAAAGCAGCGGCGGAAAAGAAAAACGGCGAGCAGAGACAAGGAGGGGGGAGGGGGGGGGAGGAGGAGGAGGAGGAGGAGGAGGAGGAGGAGGAGGAGGAGGAGGAGGAGGAGGAGGAGGAGGAGGAGGAGGAGGACGAGCAGGAGAAGGAGGAGGAGGAAGTGGAGGAGAAGGAAGAAGAGGAGGAGGACTAGGGAGGAGGAGGAGAAGGAGGAGGAGGAGAAGGAGGAGGAGGAGAAGGAGGAGAATGATCCCCCCCGCGCTCTGTTTCTCAGTTTCCTAGTGTCTGATGCCAGAGCCGTCTGGAGTCTGACTGCACACGAGCGTGGGTAAGCAGATGCACGGCGGCTCAAATCTCACCCGATATGAAGGAATGAGAAATGGCTTGGGTCAGGCCACGGGGAGCCGAAAAACTAATTACGAGCGCGCATAGATCATTCACGTACAACTTCCATGATCCCCCCCGCGCTCTGTTTCTCAGTTTCCTAGTGTCTGATGCCAGAGCCGTCTGGAGTCTGACTGCACACGAGCGTGGGTAAGCAGATGCACGGCGGCTCAAATCTCACCCATATCACCCATAACATGATGTGTCACCTATTCTGCTGTGTTGGGAGGCGCAGCACACGCTTTGCACGGGCACTGCAAAAGAGCGGAGGCGGCGGCGGCATTGCGCGGCCTCAAAGAGTCTAGTTTTTCAGCGTGTTCAACTGCTCCTCCAACCAGCAGTGCAGCGCCAAAGGAAGCCGCGCGTAGTCTTTCATCATCATCATGCATGACTTCTTGCAGCGCTGCACCTTTTTTGGTAGACATCCAACCACCACGACGTTGCACAGAGTAACGGTTGCGATGCTTTTGATATATATCCAGGAAGCACCCGCATGGCGTACCTGGTAGTTCTCAATGGCTTGGCCGAACGGTCGGCTTTGCATGCAAAATCCCACACTTTCCCGATGAGTAAACTGCCACAAACTGTCATCTGCCACGACGGCTAGAATCTGAAGAAAATCTGAAAAAAACTGTCAAAACCCTGGGTTTCCACAAGATGGAACTGCTTTGGTTCCCAACCTTCGAGCCCTGGTGGAGGTCTGACCTGTGTGCATGCCCGCGCCACATAGTGTCGACCCTCATGGTCGGCGGGGCAGGGCCGCCGAAGCGAGGCTGGAATAACAAAAAGGCCTCGATCAACTTCTGGCCGATGCCCGAGTCGTAGCCCAGCATATACCTGTGGGTCATGAAGTCGACGGTGGCCGCATTGAAGTCCTGCACTTTGTCGGTGCCCAGCCTGGACTCGTCGACGTATGCGACCAGGCTTTGATACGACTCTCGATGTTGTGTCCAGGTTCGCTCTCCTGCCGAGCTTCGTCCTGGCACCGAATCGTGTTGCATACCTGGCTCCTTTGCCATCCTCGCATGGTGGGGCTCGCACTCCAGCATGCGCTCCTGCACGAGCGGGTTGCCATCCTCCTCCGAGGTCGTGCCGCCCGAATCTTCCAGTCGGCTGGCCTTCCCCTCCGCCTCGTCCAACATCAATGGCGGGGAGAGGCGGTCGCGACCCCGTTGTAGAGTAGCTCGCCACCTCTTTCCTAGTGGCCACGGGTCCGTCCGCCAAAGAGGCGCCCGAACTTCCCTCTCGCCCGTCGTCGCTGCTCCCCTCGCCTTCCTCACCAAGGACATGACGAGCCCAATCCAATGCAGAAGTAGAGCATTGTGGAACTTCATTTCTGGCCGAAACGGCTACGGGGCCCTGCTGGTCTCGAGCGAGACGACATATATCAGGCGCGACGATCAACTCGACTGCATCCCCCCGTCGCAGACCAGGGTCCCTTGAAGGCTTGTCGGAGCTGTTGAACTCACTCGGGACCCACCTGAATCCCACGAAAAGGTTACGGGACAACGACAGCGCCGACGCTCGCCGAACCTGGACCAGAAGAGGAAAAGCTCGGGCCCTGGATCTCGCAAAGCTGAGCGTGACTCCGAGGTTATCCCCAAGAGCTAGAAGGCGACAACTATGAACTCCTGGCTCCAGAGCGACGTTAGGGATCCCAAGGACTCCAGCTCTGGCTTCTCCTTCATGTACTGTCATCTTTCTTCTCCAGGAATGACAGAAAAGCACCTTCCAGTCTTTCCCTGCAAGCCCCTCGAGCGGTACCTCGGGGAACGAAAAATCTTGCTCCCAGAGCTCCGAGACGCCCACGAGAGACGGCGGTGGCGTCACAAACACAAGCGGGTCATCAGGGTCGAGGCAAGAAAGCGCGTGCCCACGAGCCTGCGCAGCGTCACGACGAACAAATCTAGCTCTCTCTTGGACTCTCCCCTGAGCGGCCGCCCAGGCAGGAGACCTAGTAGCAACGCAAGCCCCCGCACCCTCGGGACAGGAATCATACGTTAACACATTCCCAAGCCAGCCCCGGGACCAGTCCGAGCGGATCAAGGGGCATGAGGTAGAGGAACGCCTCGAGCTCTTCACGCGCCGTCGCCCACAATGGGGCCCAAGAGTGCCGGTACCTCCGAGCGAACTTGTAGACCGAGGCGAAGCAGGAGAGTAGAGGGCGCTGTAGCATAGCGAAGTAGGTACAATGTCCCAGAAGAACCTCGAGGGCTTTTCCAGTTACCTTGGGCGCCTCCAAAAACGCCTCCAGAGTCAAACGAATCTTCCAGTATCGCTTTCCCGAAGGCCTGAAACACTTTAGCTTTCCGTCGAACTCGATCCCAAGAGCATCCCTAACCTGCCCAGCCGCCTGAACTTCGTGGCACTGCATCTTGTTAGCGTTAAGAACGTTTCTGATGTTATCCAGGGACTTCTGGACCTCTTTCTCGTCAGCCCCCAAGACCCCCACGTTGTCCACATACACGTAAAAGACGGGCGCGGAGTCCTTACCTATGACGAGGCCGCCCCCCCCTGTCTTCCACCGCCACAGAGCTTTCCATCCCAGATGCCTCCCTTACCAAGCGAGCATTGATACGCTGGGCCCAGAAGACTGACCAAGAAAAGCCCATGGGGAGCACGGCCATGGCGGCCCACACAAGCCCGCCCCGCCCCCGAACACGCGCTAGCCCTAGCTCTCGTGCTCGAACGGGGGGCAGGCAAAAGTAATCGCCCAAGTCGCTGTCTATACCTATTCTGTGGAAGCAGTTGTCCACGTCGAGAGAGGCCTCATACAGCTCAACACCTTCCTCCACCTCCAAGCGGGCGAAACTCTCGGGCGTGGCCAACAAAGTACTAGGAGGATCTCGGAAGAGCTGATTAGTGCGCCTCGCATCGATGATAAGCCGCTGTCTCCCATCCTTTTTCCGAACGAAAAACGGGGCGGCAATCTCTTTGGGCGTAGTCGACCACCTGATCAGACCACGCCTGTGCAACATCTTTAAAAAGCGAACGTACTCGTGCCGTCGAGTGCGAAGCTTCTGATCAAAATACGGGTTGATACACTCGCCGTAGTCTCTCATCTGCATCACTTCCTTCACATCTCTCATCGTGCTCTCCTTGAAGTTCACCACCGCCTCCCTGTCCTCCTGGGAGACCAAGTCCTGAAGCAACGTTCTGTCCTGGACCCCCCTCGGGCAGCGAGACGAGGGATCGATCGAACTCGACGACAGTGGAGGCTGCGTGGTCATAACCACACTTGCTCTGGAGGAGCTCGCGCACGGCTCCCTCCTTGCTCAAAAAAGGCGGCGCAGGCGGCTGTTGGGCAACCCGATCCGCAACAAAATCGTGCATCTCACTCACCACTTCTTGGCGAACGAGTGGGCTCGAAGCTCGGGAATACAACCAGTTGAGGCCCGCCAGGACCTCCCCGAACTCACGCGATTGATGGCTCCTGAGGTTGGCCCTCCGCCTGCACCTCCTCGGGAGACGCGTCGGCGGAGAAACCGAGTGGTTACAAAACTCGAGCGCAAACAGCGGCGCCCGTCGTGCTCCCTGCGCATCACTCTCGCCTGTCAGCGTGCCTACCGCGCGGCGACTGCGGCAAACACTATCTCTGGTCTTGCTGGCAAGGGTGGAGGCGTCACTCATCCTTGCCCTCCTCATTGTCCTTGCCCTTCCCTGCGGTCATGCCGCGCTCGAGGGCGACCTCAGCCTCGTCCTTCGAAGCCTCGGCCTTGCTGGTCTGTCTGTCGATCTCCGCCCACTCTCGTACCACCTTGGACACGTAGGTGCAGGGCACAGGCACCGCAAGCTGACGTCGGCGGTTGTAGCGCAAGAACTTGTCGGCCATCTCGTAGATCGGGATCATTGGGTTCTTACCATCAGCCTCTGGTTCAGACTGCCCTCTCCGCCCCGACTTCACGGAGGCCGCGAGCGAAACGACGTCGCACCGATCGCGCGAGGCAGCCAGTTCGAACACCCCCACCATTTCCCGCACCTCTTGAGAGGAGCGATCGTTCTCACTCCAACACGCCGTCAGGTGATGGCGCGCGAACCAGAACGCGGGCACCATTCCCAGCTGAACCAGCGATGTCATCAACCACAGGAGAGCACGAACGTCATTCACGGAACAGACCAAGAAGGTGTCCTCAACCATCTCCTTGACCGAGATCACCCAGACGCGCACCCTGCGGGTGAAAACATTGAACTTCTCCGCAAGCGTGCTCGCATACTCACCCCACGTCTTGCCAGGCTCCCCACCTGCTCCAGGGAGCTGCAGGCCCGCAAAGTCCCCCAGCAGCGCGTAGCGCCCCGCGGGCGACCGAGGGCCTCCATCACGATCGTCGAGCGTGTGAGTAACACCTAGGCCCGCCAAGATAGGGAACTTGCGGCCCGCGAAGTAGCCGACGAAACCGTCCACCTTGAAACACTCGAGCGCCGCGACGATCGAGCCTAAGTTGGCGAAGTCGCGGCTATCGCACCTCGCGAACTGGTCGCCCTGACCTCTCACGTGCGACGTCTCCTTGAGCCCATCGAACTCGGTGACCTGCGACACCTTGGCCCTCAGATCCGAGAACTTGTCACAAGGTTCCGCCTCAACTCTGATCGGCCCGCGATCACCAGTAGCTGTCCACCCCTTCGCGCAAACATAGAAAACAGGCGCGGGCCCCTCCCAGATACTTCTGTCATCCAGAGCCTTAACCCCACTCAGCAAAATCCGACCATGCCTGTAAGAACACCCATCGTACCAGTAGATGTCATCGCCTCCTGGCGACGCTGCCGCGATTCCCGCCATCACTGCTCGATGCGACCGAACCCTCCACGAAGAGAGGCAGCAACACGGCGGGGACCGCAAAGCCGAGAGAGTAGACC